CTGTTGAAACTGATCAGTTTCAGCAGCGGCTGAATCTGGACACCAGTTCCGACTTACATACAGATTCAACTTAAGAACAAACCTACAGTCCCTATCTTGTATGTAACCCGGGGACTGCCTGTATTTAACTTTTTCTGATCTATATGTTTGTATTCTATAAAGTATTTTAATATGTTCTGATTCATTCTATTGTAGCTGTTGATTCTAACAAATGTCTTATTTTTGTACAACTGAAGTTAAGTGATTGCAGAAAGCTTTTCAGTAACAATCATAAAAGGATGTTACCAAAGTAAATTGAGGAATCCATAAAAAGATGTAGTTAAAATAACTTTCACTGAATTTTATAATGTACTAACGCAGTGGTTCCCAAACTTCTCGGCATCATTCCCCCTTTTTGATTTTTGAAAAACCCTCATCGCCCCCCCCACCTCCAAACAGCAAAACTTTATGGGGGGGAGGGGCTGGGTTGCCTGGCTGCTCCCCAGTTGGGGAACCCATGTTAACTAATGTGTAATTTTGCCTTACTTTTTTTCTCCAAAGAGCCCTGTTGTCTGAGCATCATAGTCTTAGAGTCTCACAAGCACTTGCCCTAATGAATGAGATGTTATCCGAGACAGTACAGCTTCCTGCAAGTGAATCTAGACCATTGTCCAAAACAACGATATTCCCTCGAGATTTAAGAAAGCAGCATCTCATATCTGCTAGAGGGTAACGTATTTATAGTTCAGACATACATTGATTGTACAGCTTCTCTCTTGCACTTCAGATTTGCTAATTAGAGATGATCATCTTAAATCCTGTGTGACATGGGATAAGTTCAAATAAATTAAATGTCATAGTAGTAGAAGAAGTATACAGTACAAAAAGGCTGGATCTCTCTAGCTGATGCTTCACCTGGTGTGTGGAAGTCTCCAGCTGGCCTACAACTAGTATATAGCTAGCTTCTACACCATCCCCTGCAAGCACCAGAGAACAGGGCATTGAACACTGTTGTGCTGACCTGGCTGTTGGATTGCCTCTTGGAGGCCATAGCCAGATAGTATAGTCAGCTCCAGGATCAACCAGCTATTTCAAATCTACCACCACTTACCTGCATCCTGGAGATACTGAGCACAGTTGGGAATCTGGTGGCTCATGCGAGAGTCCATGAGTCCTGTAATACTTTTTAATAAAGTTGACTGTTACTAGATAAGTCCTAGACTAGTAAAAACTAAATATCTTACCTGACCCTACTTGTAGCTGCATGAGTAACACTTCAGCTCGGTGGAGTTAGAAGCAACAAGGGCTGTGCTCAATATTTAGAGCAGGGGTGGGGAACCTTTTTTGGTATGAGGGCCATTGACCCACAGAAAAATCAGTCAGGGGCTGTGCACAACTGAGAAGTGCATAGCCCCCGACTGACGTGGCCCCTGACCAAGAAGGAGAAAGACACTCCTCACATTTCCCTTGCACACCAGAGCTTAGGGGGCCCCAGCCTAGTAGATTTTCTGTGCTCCCACCCCATGGCAGGAGGGGGTGGGGCCCAGAGCACCAGGGTGGGCTCCCCAATGCTGGGGGAGCCCTGTGTCTTGGGGGCCAGAAACAGGCAAGCCAGGGACTGAGTCCAGCCTCTTGGCCCTAGGTTCCCCAGCTAATACAACACAGAACCAGCTTGAGCCCCCACTCAGTAATCTGGGAAGATTACACATCACCCTCAGGAGTGACTTAACAGGCAATACCTCCCCTCTTGGAAACACAGTTAAATGGAGACTAGGATCCATAAGTACCACCTACACCACAAGATACAAAACCTGTCCATTGGCTCCCTGTCCAGTGACTGCAGTTCAGTTGAGGATAAGTTGCTCAATGAGTGTACGCCAAACACACTTTTGCTTCCCTTGATTTACACACCAAAGATAACACTAGTTTAGGTATGAAATAACTAGCACTATTCCGAAATAACGTAGTCCAGGTCCACACCGCAGGCAGTTATTTCAATATAGTGTAAAAATACTGTCAAGCTGGAGAACTTCTTATCGGACCCCTGTAACCCTCATTGTATGAGGAATAAGGGAAGTCAGAGGAAGAGTGCTCTATTTTAAAATAAGTGCTGTGTAAAGGCTCCCTATTTTGGAAAAAAAGCTATGCAATTGACATAGCTCAGTTTGCGTAGCTTATTTCAAATTTAGCCCTGCAGTGTTAGATACACCCTTTATTACCTCTGCATTCAGTAACAAAGAAACTTGTGATCCAACACAACCAAAAATGATGTTTTGGGCAAAGTAGCTCCATGGTGTGCCACATACAGGCAAAGCAAGTGTGTATGTGCAAACTAGGGATGTGAAAGTGTACCCATGTCTACGGTTACACACAGACTCCAGGTATTCATGGAGTGCTTGCTTTTAACCTGGCTCCCAGGGATCTACCTGCTCTCTTTCTGCTGCATTGTTGCCTCTGATACAGAGGCAGCAGTACAGGGAGGGAGAGAGGTGGCGCTGGTAACTCTAATTTTAATTGGTTACATGATTAAACACAGTTTAACATCCTTAATGCATACAAGGTCAGTTGCTGAAATAGTCTTCCCCAGTTCATCCGTATGTGTAAGAAGAGAGCTCATGCACACCCTACTTACACATATATTGGTTTTCAGCAGAGCCTCATGACCCGTCTCCTTTTCTAGAAAGAAATACTCCCACTGAGGTAGTTAACTCTTTGTTTTGTATTTTGTTGTTTATTGCCTTGTAGGAAATATTTGATTTCATGTTACAAATTATTAAATATCCTCCCCTAGATAGTATTTTATTCAATCATAATCTGTTATAATTGCAATACATTGGTATTATGGTATATTAGTAGCAGCAGTAAATAATGTATTTTTTCTTCTTGCTTTAGAAGTCGTCCTGGTAGTCGCAGTCAGTCAGCAAGTCAAGCTGAAAGAAGCAGAACTGCTGCCAAACCAGGTTTTGGTCAAGCAAGATCCCATTCCACTCCACCCTATAGTTTACCTCAGTCTAGGGGTAAGAACTGAAATTTCTTTGTATGTGCGTGCATGTGCGTGCAAGTCAAAGATATTGTCTGAGTTCCCTGCACATTTGATACCTTTGTACATGGAAACTAATAAGTTTGTTCCTTTAAGATGAGATTGTCACTGTCACATAGGATATCAGATATGTGACTCCTTCACCAATCCTTTCTGTATTCATGAAGGTTTTAACTGTGCAGTTTGTCCAGAGCCCATAATAAGGGATAGCATGGAACCCAGGACGTAGCACTTACTTCATTCTCTCTCTCTCTCTCTCTCTCTCTCTCTCTCTCCCTTTTTGAGAACCCACATATATTACAAGTACTCCAGTTGCTTGCAATACAATTTGTTTGTATGTGTTTTTTAGGAACTGCCATTGGGGTATTGCAGAAGAATATATCCGAAGGGGGGATTAGACATGCAACACATTATCCTGGAAATTCTAGACCAGGTAAGCAATACACAACAAAGAAATGGTGATTTTCAGCTAAAAGTTGAATAATGCTATGTCTAAAAAACTCTCATGTATGTAACTATTTAAACAATAAGACACAATTATTGCATTTATGAATTATTGCAGCAAATTTCAGATGGTATTTTTAAATGGATATTACTGAATACAAGAGCTGGTTGAAAAATGGAGATAGGGAGAATTGCAAAGTTTTTCATTAGTGTCTCTTTTTTTTTTTCCTGAAAATTTTTGAACTGTTACATGTTTTGATGTGGTCTACCAATGACTGAATGCCCTTTTACATCCTCAAAACAGGATGCATTTCAGGGCACTTGCTGTACATTTCATCATTTCTATGAGAAAAATGTATGAATCATAGTAAGAAAATAGTTAAGCTCATACGTTTATGAAGCGGTATACAGGAGGTAGCATGGGAGAGAAGAGTACTCATGAACTGGGTTCTCTTTCCATCTTTCCTACAAATTAACGCATTGTGAACTTGAACAAATCTCTTCAACTCTTGGTACTGCTGTTTCCCCTTATTTGTGGCATCTAGGGAGTACTGCAGTATAAATAATTAGGGCTTTCACGTGATTAAAAAATTTAATCACATGTTTGCCCCCTTTGAAAGTCCCCAGCTGCCCCCAGGCTCCATGTAGCGCTGTCCCTTTGATGGTGCATCAAAGGACCAGCAAAGCATAGAGCCCAGGATCAGCTGGAGTGCCCAGCTGATCCCTGGCTCTGCATTGTGCTGCCTCTTTGAAGCACTGAAGTAGTGCTTCAAAGGGGCAGCACAGTGCAGAGCCGGGGATCAGCTGGGCACTCCAGCTGATCCCCGGTAGGGAAGTTAAAAGCTAGTCAACTCACCCATAAGCAAATGCCTACTAGACTAGTTGATTCCCTACCCCCCTTTTGCTTCAAAGTGGCAGCAGCAAATAGCTGCTTTGAAACCCCAATGCGGTGTTTCAGAGGGGCAGCAGTGGAGCCCAGGGTCAGCTCAGGATTGCCCAGCTGGTTCTGGATTATGCACGGCAGCGGAACCTGGGGCCAGCTGGGGACTCCTCATCTGACTCTAGGGTTCTGGGAAAGAGCCATGCAGAGCCTGTGATCAGCTGAGGAGTCCCCAGCTTACCCTGGGCTCCAGGGTTACTCCTATGAAACACGCGCGGAGGCGGCAACATAGTGCAGCACTTCCCCAGAACCCTGGGCTCTGTGTTGCGCTGCCCCTTTGAAGCACCGCAGCAGCATTTCAAAGGGGCAGTGTGGCATTAAAGCCTGCGATTAATGCATTAATCCTGGACTGTTTTAACCACAGGCGTTAATGCGTGTCAATTGACAGCCCTAGAAATAATAAATATAATTAGGATAGAAGAGTGGAAATAGTCATATGGTACTAATGATTGAAAACATTCAATATTTTGTAGATCTGCAGAGCAGAAAAAGGCAGAAATTTAGAATGCCTTATTGCAACTCTGTTTCTCACTGTGCATTTGGAACCCATTGTTCTGCCTTTTTTCTTATGTACTAATTTCCAGACTCTCTTCTAGCCCTCCATATTAAAGTCCAGTTTTCTGTGGCACATACATTAAATTAGGAGTATCAGTGTTTAAAAATGAGTTGAGAGAGACCTTGTGGTCCACCTGATTTCCATTAAGTATACCTTTTCTTCCCACAAAAACTTATCAGTTGAAAATTTCCCACCGTTTTTGCAAAGCTATTGTTAATCAAAATTTAGATTCTAAAATAGACTGGAATTCCAAATGTTTAAAGCAGGAGAAGGTACAGAAAAGTCTTGAGCAATAATTTTTTAGTTTGGTTTACATTCACTGCTCTATTTGAAACTTGTAAAAAAAATTCTCTTTTCCAAGTTGCCCTTCGGCCTCAAGACCAAACATCTCAACCCACTCGCAGAGGAATGCTGACAGATTTTAACCGAAGAAAAGTGTGGTTGCAAGGCAATGCAAGCCAGAGGATGGGCATTAGCAAAGGAAGACCTAATTCAGCCAGACAAGGTTTGGAAAAGAAAGGAGATAGACATTTAGGACATATTAAGATGCAGGTCTCCTTTGGCCAGGTTTACCATAGTGTCACTGATAATTATGTAGACTAATGGAGTAGAGGTACTATGTTTCATTGTTATATTTATTATTTCTGTATGAAGTTGCTATTTTTCAGTTGTTTGTGGACTTTGAATGACATGACCTCCAACATCTATCATTCATTGCCGGCTCATGGGGCTCCCTACCCCACTGGCCAAGCTCCCAGCCCTGTAGGGCTGCAGGCTGGGCTGCACTCCAGGCCCCCAGGGCTGCCAGTTGCTGGTCTCTCTGCCCTGACCTACTAGTCACCAGGGCTCACTGGTCTGGCAGCATATATGTTTCTGCTGGACCATGGATATTGCAGAACCAGAGAGTTTCAACCTGTCGTCTTTTTGTAGACCTGCCAAAAAATGACAAATGCATAAATTACTAAAGCCAAGATGTTTTCAAATATCACTTCATGTTTGGAGTCTAGACTATCCCCCCCCCAGTATTATTGACTCCCAGGGTTGATGAAAGTATAGCATCTACTTCAAGAAACTGAACTGTAGCAACATCACTTCTATAGAATCTAGGGGACTGTAAAGCACCATCTGATGCTGAGCTGGTGTAACTAGAATTAGAGAAGCATTTTTATTAATGTATTTTTACACTCCTCCAAAATTCAGAGTCTTTGGTATATTTTCACAGAAATTTAATATAGAGGGAGAGTTTCTAGTAAGCGGAGATTTTTTTTTCAATGGGGATTTAATTAATTTGGAAACAATTTCCAACTTTCTGTTTAAAACTCTTAAAATTGTGCCTGGTCAGTCATTGTAGGCTGCTAAATGCAAGAGGAGAGGAAAACAAATTTAACATTTGACCAGTATGGCTAAAAGAATCAAAATTAAAACATCCTACATCATAAGAAATTGGATTCTTGTTTTTTCTGGGCTACTCATTACACACAACCTACATTTGAAAATCAACATTTCAGTTTATAAAAATCATATTAATAAACAATGGCATGTTTTCTTTGTGTTTCCCTATTCAGCTTCTGATTATCTGACACACAGTACCAAGAATCTGAGAAGACCTGCACCACATACAATTGCAATTCAGACAGAAGAGAGAGATCTTAATTATGAGTCAGAGCGAGATTCAGTAAGTCCTTGGAGTGTCCCTGATGATATCCAAAGAATCCTTCATGACAATTATGATTCCCTACTTGAGGTAAGGAGTCTTATTGTAATAGGAATGAGTTGAAATCTATCTATCTTGTATCTAGAGGACTGGTATTTCATATGCCCTTAATTACCTCTTTTGCCTTTGCAATAAAGTTCACGTCCAAAGTGCAGGTAGTAGCTAAGGTAGCATACCCTCATGATTGCATTATAAAACTGTTGGTCATAGCATGCCTTTATTGGTGTAGCATGGACTGGGAATACTACTTCCTTCTTTATAACCTTTAAGTGCATGCTAATTTATTGTATGCTTGGGGCTCGTTTCGGCTTCTGCTGAGTAGCCATCTGCAACACAATTGCCTTGCTGATTAGACAACGAATTTTTATAGCAAAGTCTTAATAGCTGATTGTTTAAATTGGACATGTACTACATCACAAAAGGTTTTTAAACGCTTTTGTTATCTGTGTTGGGATAGCTAGAGGCTTTGTATTGTACTTTGGCTCACTGTTCACCCTCTTCCCCCAGGTATCTGTACCTCATGAGGAGGACTTCTCTCCTCTTAGTGTTAATGAGGTCGACGGCATATCTGAAAGCACAGGAAGTATCCTTAGCAAACTGGACTGGAACGCTATTGAAGCTATGGTAGCAAACGTGGAAGAAAACTGACGTGAGGGGATTTCTTGACCTGTGTCCACTTTCAGAGCAGTTTAACAATTAGCTTTCTTGGAAACCTGTGGCCCTACCTTATTGTTGTATTTTAAACAATCCTTATTGAAATCAGATTGAAGTTATACTTGAAATTCAGTAGTGGCGTGTGAGACTTTCAGTTCCCTGGTTAAAGACAATATACTTTGATGTTAATGTGCAGGGATCCCTGGAATATGCATGCTGATGAAATTACATTACATCAAGTGAGTAATGGAACTTGTATACCACTATTGACCTTGAATTGTCCCTACAATTATTATTAAAAATTCAGAATTCTAAAGATCAAGTTTTCACTTCCAACTCAGTGAAAAGTTTCATTTTATATTTTTAGAGCAATGCAGTCTTTTTTAGTGTTAACGGATAAAACCAATTCAAAATATATACTTAATAAAATCTTGGTTTTGACTGTTTACTGGTTTTTGTGGGTTTTTTTTAAAATGTATTGGGAGGAACATCACTGTAGAGGATCTGGTTTTGCATTTTTATATTAGTGCCTTATATTGTACATTATAGCTGGTGACCCAACACTAAAGTTGACGAAAGCAAGCAGTTGGAAGAAGATTAAAGGACCACCTAGTAGTCTGACTTCTGCTTCTCACTTAGCAGCATGAACTACAGTAGAGCTTTGAGAGAAATGTTATAATTGGAGGAGGATTCTTCAGAAGATGTCCCCATCGGTGCTCCACGTAAGGTGATGGGTCATCCCCAAAGCTGCAAGATTGAAGACTTTTTCATAGCAGTTAGCGGTCGGGCAACGCATGCGCAGCAAGTATCTCATGCTGCTGGCAGTTGAGAGTCAGCAGTTACTGGAAGTTAGCTGAATTGATGGAACACCTGCCAGAATCCAGGAAACCCATCCTCAGAGTAGTCATCCGCGAAGGACACACGATTGCCTGCACCGCGCTGTTCTTCGCGATTGACATAGCTGATATGGCAACAAAAGCAACTGCTACAGCCATGGTCATGAAGAGGGCTTCATGGTTACATGCCACAGAGGTCCCCAAAGGCCTCCAAGCTAAGGTGGAGGGAGGACCTCTCTTGACAAACAGAAGCTACTTGCAGCCAATATTGATGAGATTTGCATGGCAGCAAGAACTCACATAATAGTCTATGCACGATAGGCATGTACACCCCTCCATACAGGTAAAAGCAATACACCATCTACAATAGGAACAGGGACACACAGTATAACTGTCCTCAAAACAAGCCATACTAACACAATCAGTACAGGTAACATAACCAGAAGAGGCACCCACAGCCACCACGCTCCTCTGGTGTTCAGACTTCTAAACAGCAGATTTAAAATGTTGATTGAGGGTATGCCCAACCTCTCCATTTATCTAGTGCAAAGTCAGAATCATCTATTTGAGCACAGGCTACGTCCCTTCCTTCATCATTGGGATGCAATAACATCTGACCAGTGGGTTGTGGAAATCATCTGTACGGGGTACACAATCCCTTTCACCTTCCCGATTCCTCTCGAGCAAGAGATCGATCAGCTCCTCCAGCTGGGAGCTATAGAGAAGGTCCCTGAGCTGTACCAGGAAAGAGGGCTTTACTCAGCTTACTTCCTAACCCAGAGGCACACAGGAGACTGAATCTAGACCTCCTCAAACTGAACAAGTTCCTGCAGAAACAACGCTTCAGGATAGTCACATTAGCTTCAATCATGCCGGCACTGGACAAAGGAACCAGTTCACAGCCCTCAACCTACAAGACAAATACTTCCACATCTCAATACATCCTGCACGCAGAGGCTACCCGAGATTCACCATGGGAGGGCTATCCTCTACTCCAGGGGTTCCTGAACTTTTGGAGGACCAGTAATGTTCATTTGCATAATGATGAATATTCAAATAAGTTTTCTGGTCCTCCCAAATCTCCCAGTGCCAGCTTTAGCAAAGCTTTTGATATGGTCACCCACAATATTCTTGCCAGCAAGTTAAGGAATATGGATTGGATAAATGGGCTGTAAGAGACAGAAAGGTGGTTAGACCAGGGTTTCCCAAACTTTTTACTTTAATTGGAACCCTTTTTTTTCACTTCTGCTTTTTACAGCCCAAAAATATAAACACATGAAAAACAAACTGAGAAAATACCAGACATATAACATGTCTGGGATTTTTTTCAGTAGGTAACTTGTATTATTACTCGATGTATCAGTTTGTAGTTTCGAACTGCCTGGCTGGTAAATGTGCTCATGCTGCATGAGTGTGTCTACCATCCAGATAGCTCGCAACTACTCGAGGGGTGTGTGGGAGGAGGGGAGAGAGAACAGTAGAATCCCTGTGCTGGACTAACTCATGCTTTGTGGGTGGGGGGGAGGAGGGGGAATGGGGTCAGGTCAGTCCCACTCCCCGCAGGCCGATTCATTTCTCCCCCCTGCTTCCCTTGCTGTGCCTCTGGCCAGCCCCACTTCCCCCAACCCCCTCCCGGGCAGCCAGTTCTCCCCCGCTTGTCCTCCTAATCTCCCTTTGCCCACCCGCCGC